AAAAACTTTTTCCATCCGCTGAATATCCAAGTTTCGCCCACGGACAAATCCGCATTGAAAACATTAATACACAGGAAGCAGATCCAACCAACTTAATTTCTTCATTCTCATCTCTATTAGCTTGTTTTTACTTTTATAACTTTACTCTCCATTATGACAATTATTGTTTTTAGCAGTTATTTAACTGTTTTTATTCATTTTTATTGTTGAATATTATAATCTTTTCAAAGTTAAATACGTAAAGCGTTGTATGAAATCGCGTTATAAGAAATCGTGTAATAGAAAATAAAAAAGTTATCCAAATATGTGTAGTACAATTAGCGTTATACAGGAGTCTACAGTACATAAATGAAATATTATTTGTTCAAACTCGATGTACGCTGGCTAAATTGTTCGTTAACCGAATTGAGAAGTTAGGTAATGTGTACGTTAACCGAACACGCAATCCGAACTGTTCGTTAACCGATTATTATTATATAAATTAGAATTCGATAATATAAAACTGTATGAATTGAATTAATGTTGGAATAATCCAAAATACGAAACAATGATTATGAAGAAGTGGTAATTCCTCCGTTTCCGCTGTTATACCGAGTTCAAGTTTCCTCTCGCTATCCCGTAATAAATTCACCCTCCCCTTCTGGTCGTGACAGAAATCAAAACGGAAGTTTGTCGTTATTAAACGCGAATTTATTTTGTAGACGAACTGAATTTCTTGTTCTCCCGTTTCGACGTATAAAACCGCAACGTCGTGGTGATGTCGGTTTTCGGGTGAGATTTTGGTGGGAAGAAGGAGGAGGAATGGGGACGAGACCGCAGGGCCTCACCATTATTGTTATTGTTATTAGGGGAGGTCGTAAATATTTGAATATTTTTCAACGCAAACTTTCTCGAAAGACGTATTAAAATTTACGCGCACGAGACGAGAACTTAAATATTCTACGGGATAAGTGCTTAACGCTTAAACGTTTCGCCCTCTCCGCGCGACTACAAGACCCTCGCTTTGATCCAAAAGATCTTTGAAACTTCGTCCGAAGGAGGGGAATTTTCTTTTTCATTCTCTTTTGATAACTTCACTTATTAGATTCTAGGTGTAATAATTAGTCGATAGATCATCATAGTTCATTAAATGTTAATACTCTATATTTCTATTGAAGTTTCAACGTTTCATTATATAAATATTTACAGCAAATTTTCATTACAAACAAATAGGTTTTCTTCTCAAAGTAGATCATAAAATAATTGAAATATTATCATTCATAATTTAAGAAATTATTAATAATTAGTGAAACTTTTTGATAAGAAAATTACTTCTTGAAATTTAACTATAATTATATAATTTAGAAGGAATGATTTTTAAATTTGACTGACAAAACTGTATTTGCATTTTTTATGTAACTATTGCAATGATATAAACGTTATTATTATAATAATCAATTAAGAAAAATCTACTTTACAATTTATTTATATCAGTGTTTGAATTTAAAATAGAAAAAAATAAATTAAAATGATTTATGTAACTTCTATACAGATTTAAATCTTTTAACACTAAAATTAAGTTAAATAATAAAATTAGAAAAAAATTAAAATAATTTAAATTAAACTTTAAAGACAATTCAAGCAATTTTTAAACAGATAAAGAAACTTACATGAAATAACTCTACAACATCTTCAAAAATATAACTGAAAAGCTGTCGTATTTAATGAATGATTCAACGAAATGTTACATAAAAAACTGTATATATTTTTTTTATAAATAAACTTTTAACTTTAATTAATTTAACCTATTAATAACTAATGTATATATAAGTGCACTATATAAGTTTATAATTAATTTTTGCGTCCTATTTATAGTAATTAAGAGAAAACATAATTTCGAGTCATGTTTATTACACTACGTTCAAGCGAAATTAATTCCCACATTGAACATTTCCACTTTACCAAAGAGCGCTCTAAGTATTATATAAGTAACATCCATTAAAGTAATGCATACAAATATACGACTTCCCTGAATGTAGTAGCTAAATTAACATCCCGTTAATCTGCTGTTAAACATAATTATAAATTAAATATTACATAAACTACACAATTTCACAAATAATCCCTCATTTAATAATAAATCTCTCACATATATTTCTTAAAAAAGTACACGAACTATATAAAAAAAAGTCTATTTTAAAATGTATTATTTTGATATTTAATATATATTTTGTAAATTTCAAAAATCAATCAAATCATGAAACATCAAAAGACATTAAACTGTTTTATAACGTCTTCAGAATATAACAGAGACGTTAACTTAGTTAATAGGTGATTAAACCTAAATATACGTTGCGTTAATAAACGTAAAAGTTAGAGTTAAGATAATAATTTACACATCAATGTCTAATTAACTAATTTGGGAATTTACTAATAAAAACATATTTTAACATATTAACTTGATGGGAAAGACAACAACATAATTGTATACTTATTTAAATGTGTTAAATTTAAATTATGAGTAAGTTTTTTTTTGTTATAAAATAAATTTTAATTGAGTTTAATTTGAATATTTTAAATTTGTTTTTGCTTAAACGAAAGTTGGTATAGTGAAAATTTGAATTACAAAATACGTAGTTAACTTGGATTTCATCTTTTCGGTAAGGACGAAAGTTTATAGTTGCAACATTGTTTCTGGCAATTTTGTTGAGTTTATGGGAATTAATTAAGTTGTAAAGTAAGCAGTAAATATGTGGGGTGGAGGGTCGAAAGTAGTAAAGTTTTGTAAACTCTAAACGGGGTATATAAAAAAAAAGAGATAGATTTTTTTTTGTTAGGTGTGTGTGTGTTCATTTAAAAAAAGAAAATGTGATCTACTTTTATTATTACCAAAGATTCTTGGGAATGAAACGGAGGTGTCGATCTTAATCCTCGTAAAGGGCTGCCGCCGTGAAAAGGACACAACGATGCATCGCAGCAGGATAACAATGGGACGTCAGCCTCTTTACGTCCTTCCCTTTATCTCCCCGGTAAACCTAACGAAACAATCACAACTTGTGTATATATTGTTAGCACATCATAAGCGCGGACCGGCGAGGGTGGTTGTCGCTATTGTTCAGTGAGAGAGTGTTTATTTTCGCTGAGGAAATAAAAAAAAAGTTCTTCGACTGCGTGTATTTAGACGCACGAAGGGTGGCTGATGTCGTCGTACGAGAGGGGTGTATGGACACGACTGTACCGGTCGGCGGCGGAGCGTCGAATGCTCTCCGAAAGGGACTCGAGGGTTGTGCGAAGGGCGCGACGCGGACGCGAACTGAAGTTTCGGCGTCGAAAACGCGTCGGATGAAGAGGAGACGCGCGCCGTCCGCCAACCGATCACGAAATAAGGGATGCTGTGCTGCCGGACCACCGCACCACCCCAAAACATCGCCCACTTTCGTCCTCTGTCTCTCTATGTGCTTCGGTCCATTTCGTCACTCTTTGTTTTGGGGGAGTCTGTGCAGACACCGCTCGCACCATCCGACCCTTACATGTACACTTCATCCCTATATATATATATATTTGCACATGCAGAACTGGATATGAAGTGCCGGATGAAAGATTTTGTATTAAACTGTCCGTTACGATTAATACCCTCACGCGCGCACATCATTCCAATAAAGAGGACATTGGACATTGTGATTATAATTACACTCGAGACTCGTTACAGTCCCATTCCAACTGAATTACACTTTTATTCTCTTTTGATCCCGATCGAACACACGCATCCCCCTAATCCCTGACCAAAAAAAAATCTACAATCTTAGTACAATATTAGTTCATCTAATGGAACATCACAAATATATTTCGTTCACCCCACAACATACAAATCGATTCAATTAAATTCACATTCAAAAATTAATTATCCATACTTCACATTTACACAACAAGCAACAAATTATAAAGTAAATTTACCAGACGTCTTAAAAATGTTCGCTAAGTAGGCGTTAATACATTGGTTTTTGAAAAAACATAAGTTGTTTGTCAATTTGTTAAAGTCTTACGATATTTCGATAAGAATGGATACGAGAAAACGCGATATTAGTGTTGTAAAGTTGATAGAAATTCTACCATCAACAGCAATTACGTAAATATATTAAACTTACATCATCATTAATTCCAAAATATTCATTTCCAATGAGACAAAGTCAATTATTAAAAAAAAGACGTAAGAATATGAAGAAATGACGTTCAATATTTCATTTTTTTGTTAGTTCCTGAAAATTACCGAAAGGTTATGTAATTTTTGCGAAATTTTATTGAAAACATTAATAAATTGAAGTTTTCGTTTCTTTCTTAACTAATGGAAAAATATAGCAATTTTTTCGCATGTTACTCTTGAATATCAGCATTAGCAAACTTGCTACAAGATATAATGTTACGTGCTGACAATTTTCTATTTTTTAGTGTTTCTTTCGTAATAACTAAAATGTGAATGAAATATGAATTTGTTTTTAAATATAAACTAAAAATTAAAAAATAATCACTAATTTTCTATAATTTTTTAAATCTATGTTCATAGTTTCAGCTATTATAAATATAAATATTTGTATTACTCGATTTGAAAGATTATTAGAAGATTATTAAAGAAAATTGTAGAATAATATAGAAAATTATGAAAACAATAATTTTTTCCTAGTAAATTGCCAAAATATTTACTGTAATACGTAAATATTCTTTATACAAAGAAATATTATATACATTTTAGTAATTTCCTACAATTCTTCTAATTTTTGTTTATATATTTTCACTATTATCAAAATATGAAAATTATTAAAAAAAAAAAATAGAACCAAAGTTGCTATAAATCACAATAATACAGTTTGAATATAATTTACTCATACTTTACGTAAATTTAGTTTAAATGTTCTTTATTTTATGCAGAAAAAATAGAAATTTATGTACAAGTTTCAAAAATCAACAAACAAAATATTTCAAGCTTGAAATTAATTTTCAAATAACATTAAGAAAATTGTAAATTTACAAAAATTATTTATTATTATGTAAAACATATTGTTAAAACTTTCCTTATTCAAACAGAGAAAAATAACATAATTATTAGTAAATGCTTAAAAAATTCGACATGCACAAACTAATTTTTTTTAATTAAGTTCATATTTTACCTAAATAATATGTAATTACTTAATATATATTTAATAGATTCAAATACTGAATGTTTATAATTCCAATTTAATAATAATATATTTATAAACAAGTTATGTTAATTTATTAGTATTAATGAACATGGTAAGAACGCAAATATTCTTGAGAAATCAGAAATACAAGAGTTGTGTTGACTCTGAGCAATTGATGAGGACGTTGAATAATTCAGGATGAGCCGAGAGTAAATTTTGTAAAGTAGAACATGATGTTGAAACATTAATGGGGACTGAGAAATAATGCAGGAAGAAAAGGGTGTTTCCGGTATTCTCCAACGCATAAAAAAGAATCAACCCACGTGTTTATCTGCAACGTCTAATTTATTTATTTACCGAGGAAATCACACTTCACTTCAACGTGTTCTGTTGTATTAGAAAACACTAAATTTGGATCATTGACGATATTATGAAACAAAACAAATGTCTTAAAGTCTATTAATCATTTCTACCAAAATTATAAATAAATATACAAAATATCAATGTTTGACTAATATATCGTTAGACTAAATTTTCTCTTTTGGTAGAAATCGAAAGTGTTGGATTGAAATAATAAAATACGTTTTCAAAAAAACGAACTTTTTATGTATAAAAAAAATATAAGATTTAGTCATAGATCATCAAATGCATCAAATAAATTACGATATACATTTTCTTTGGTGTTTCTGATTTTTGGAATCTGAATCGCATTTACATTTACAGTTGAAATAAATCACGTAACAAATTGATCGAAAACTTTTAAATAATTCATGAAAAGGCATACAAAAAATGGGGGGAATATTCTTGCAATGTATCAAAAGAAGATCCGCAGTAAAGAATTTGTATTTTTTCTTTTAAAATATGATTATTGCAAACTTACCATTTTTTTCATCTTCTTGGATTATACAGAAATCTGGGTTTTCTTTAATTAATTTGGCAAATTAAACCAAAATGGTTGATTAACAAATGTGTTACCTTGGTAACTAAAATATTAAATTTAACCCAAAAAATTACTATTTTTTGACATATGTCATAATTTTGACACATTGTCTTTCTAACAAAACGGATAAATTTCATTATTATGCAACAGTAATTGCGCATCTGCTCATTATTGAATTTATTGCAATTACGTAATTGTTATTTTTTTAATTGACCAGTTATTATATTAATTAACAAATTCGTTGCCATGGAAACAAACAGATTTAATTGTGATACACTGATGAAATTGAGAAAGCGATGGGAAGTGTTCGAAAGAAAACTGTTAATTCAGAACTTCGGCTTTTTTAAGGGAAATTCGAAACGTACGGAAAATTGTCATAAGGATGGTAATACTAAAATACAAAGAAGAAATTTGAAACTTAAACTTCTGATAAAAATGGGAAAATGAGACAAAGAAGAGAAGAATTCCTAAACAGAAGAAGAAACGTAAAACGGATGTCCTGATTAGAAATGTTAAAAATTCTCCAAGAAAGCAGTAAATTAGGAAAGTGCGTTCAAATACTACGGAATTTGTAACGTAAGGAAAATTGGCATTGATAATGTATGGAGAAGATTGTAATTCGGGGAAAATGAAAAGAAACGTCGAGGTTGAGAATTCCTAAACACAGGAAGAAATTTGATGCGAAAGACCTAATACGGAATGTATAAAATGTTCATTGAAAGCATTAGGACGTTCAATTACTTTGTGTTATTTTTGTGGGAAATTCGTAACAAATTGGCAAGATGAAAATTGTGGGAAAATGAAAAGAGAAGATGAGGATGAGAATTCCTAAACATAGGAGGAAATTGAGAACGAAAGACCTGATTCGTTATATTAAAAATTCTCAAAGAAAGCAGTTAATTCGGAAAATGCATTCAATTACTTCTTGTTTTATTTTTGCGTGGGAAATTCGCAACGTACGTAGATGGAATTGGCATTGGTAATGAATGTCGAAGATGAATAACCCGGGGTAACATAAAAAGAGATGACGAAAACGGGAGGAAGAAGAGAATGAAGTTTGGAATTCACAAAGACGATCCATGGCCTCCCCATGTTTATAGATAGTCATATATATGTATATATATATTCGCAGATGCGTCCGTAGTCATGGAAACGACGCCGCGTTTAAAGCAGGATGGGGTGCGTCGNNNNGTGGAGGTGGTTGGTCGGAATGTTATCTTCTCCTTCTAACCACTCTTTTTATCCCGATGCCGGCGGTTTTTGAGAAGAGTAGGGGTGAAAACCTGCACCCTCAGACATGACTGATGCCAGTCTCAGCACCCATGGAGATGATGTGTGTTTCACACTTGAATCCTAGATTGAAGAAGAAGGGAAGAACAATAAAAAAAAATGGTATATTGCGAAAGCGTGTGTGTATTAGGGGGTGAGGAATTGCTATCCACTCAAAATAATAATCAATCCGGACAGGATAATTATCGTCCATGTATATACACGTACGACACACTATACTGGTTTATTTATTGCACTCGAGGGACGTGCGGTAACAGCGTGATGGTGTGTAGCGTATTTAGCCATGTTCGATAACCATGAAAATAATGGTAAATCACGCATCTGAGAAGCGTTCATTTTTAATGCAATTTGATACCAGCTGCAACACAACACACACACATCATGCTGTTTTTATGATGCAATTGTAATTCGATCATCGACGCTATTATTCACTTCTCCAATTAACGCGACATGACTTTTAATCTCTGTCCAACCAAATTTATTTACCAATAACTTCAATTTACACAATCTAATTGATACAGCCTCTTTGATTTTCCCTCTAATATTTCCCTTTTTGTTGTCTTAAGTATACTTTAATTAGTATAACAAATTGAAGTATTGATTAAAATTTTCCAAAAAATGCTTGCACCAAATATTGCTTAAAACTATTCTTAGATAATAAATTTGATTTTTAAATATGATTTTTCAATTCTTCTGTAATTCTCCCAGTTTGGAAACCGCTAATCTATAGAGTTGGGAAAATGAAAGTTCGTAATATGAAAATTGGTAAAGCAGTAATACGTAAAATGCGTAAAAATGATATTCTGATTAGGAGTGTTAAAAATTCTCAATAAAATCAGTAAATTAAGAAAGTGCGTTCAATTACTACGGAATTTGCAACGTAAAGAAAATTGGCATTGATAATGTATGGACAATATTGAAATTCGGGGAAAATGAAAAGAGACGTCGAGGTTGAGAATTCCTAAACACAGGAAGAAATTTGAAGCGAAAGACCTAATACGCAATGTATAAAATGTTCCTTGAAAGCATTAGGAATATACGACGTTCAATTACTTTGTGTTATTTTTGTGGAAAATTCGTAACAAATTTGCAAGATGAAAATTGTTGGAAAATGAAAATTTACACAATCTAATTGATACAACAACCTCTTTGATTTTTCTATATCAAAAGTTCCCTTTTTGTTGTCTTAAGTATACTTTAATTAGTATAACAAATTGAAGAATTGATTAAAATTTTCAAAAAAAAATGCTTGCACCAAATATTGCTTAAAACTATTGTTAGATAATAAATTTGATTTTTAAATATGACAAGTATACATTCAATTCTTTTATAATTCTCCCAGTTTGGAAATCGCTAATCTATATAATTGGGAAAACGAGAGTTCGTATTATGAAAATTGGTAAAGCAGTAATACGTAAAATGCGAACTGCTAAATAAGTTTTCATTTTACTTCTAAAAGTTCTAGTGTAATAGAAAAAAATACGTAAAATAGAAGTTCTTAACGCAAGAATTCATAAACTGAAAACTTACATGACTTTATTGTATTATTATTTCACTTGTCCAATTAATGTGACATGACTTTTAATCTCTGTCCAACCAAATTTATTTACCGATAACTTCAATTTACACAATCTAATCGATACAACCTCTTTGATTTTTCTATATCAAAATTTCTCTTTTTGTTGTCTTAAGTTTACTTTAATTAGTATAACAAATTGAAGTATTGATTAAATTTTTCCAAAAAAATGTTTGCACCAAATATTGCTTAAAACTATTGTTAGATAATAAATTTGATTTTTAAATATGACAAATATACATTCAATTCTTTTGTAATTCTCCCAGTTTGGAAAACGCTAATGTATACAGTTGGGAAAACGTAAAATGCGAACTGCTAAATAAGTTTTCATTTTACTTCTAAAAGTTCTCATGTAATAGAAAAAATACGTAAAATGGAAGTTCTTAAAGCAAGAATTCATAAACTGAAAACTTACATGACCTTATCGTATCGTTATTTCACTTGTCCAATAAACGCGACATGACTTTTAATCTCTGTCCAACCAAATTTATTTACCGATAACTTCAATTTACACAATCTAATTGATACAACCTTTTTGATTTTTCTATATCAAAATTTCACTTTTTGTTGTCTTAAGTATACTTTAATTAGTATAACAAATTGAAGTATTGATTAAAATTTTCCAAAAAAATGCTTGCACCAAATATTGCTTAAAACTATTCTTAGATAATAAATTTAATTTTTAAATATGACAAGTATACATTCAATTCTTTTGTAATTCTCCCAGTTTGGAAACCGCTAATCTATACAGTTGGGAAAATGAAAGTTCGTAATATGAAAATTGGTAAAGCAGTAATACGTAAAATGCGAACTGCTAAATAAGTTTTCATTTTACTTCTAAAAGTTCTCATACAATAGAAAATATGTAAAAGCAAGAATTCATAAACTGAAAACTTACATGACTTTATTGTATCGTTATTTCATAAAATTGTTAAACACTAAATTATAAAGTGAGAACTAATTTTTTGATGCAACAAACCAGAACTTTTTGAAAATACTAACTGTATTACATTACACTTTTATACTGCATTATATCACAGATTTATCTTCTATTTATATACATTTTTAAGTTTATTATAATTATCAGCTTTTGCTATTTTTGGATTAGTTTAATTGACTTTTATTAAAATCATAAATCATCATCAATTACATTTTTATAACAATCATTTTTGTAGCTTGTCAGAGAGTATTAATTAGTTCCATAGTTTCAATTATCAACATTGAATGAAACACGATGAGTTTTGCAATAAAAAAAAGGGGAATATAAATTTCGAAACAATAAACAAATAAATATCCGTTTTCAATTGTAAAATAATAAAAACAAAACATTTGCAGAGAACACCGTGAATTAGTAAACCCGAATAAATACGAAACGAAATAAATTCATGCCGTTTAATTAACGAACGTTTTTTTACTGTTGTTTCGAGTTTCCATTTATTTTTATTTTATCGCTTTGGTTGTTCTTCATGTTTATTTCGCATATGTTTTTATGTGCAATTGCATAATGCAAGATGAAACGCGAGAGAAGCAACAACATCTGCTGGATATAATTTCCGCGGATCAACTAAGTGCCCTTTTGATATTACTGCCAGACGTGGAAAGATATGAAAACATGTACTAGATACAAGAAGTGTCGAGGTTAGGAGATGGTCAGGATGGACTTGGAAGGATTTGGAGACCCCCTGTTTCGTGTAGTATCATCTGCAAACAAGATTATTTGCTGTGTATCTTGCGTATTGGTTTCCCTTCACTTGCATTAAATTCTGCAAACATCCTTTCAGCCCTCCAGCAAGACCCAAAATACAAGTTAAATCATATAATTGTTTGCCTTCTCAGCTAATAAAACTTGAATCGTGTATTTCACTTTTTGGATAAAATAGAAATATTTTAAACATATTATTGTATCTTTTACAATTAAGATTATATTACACTTTATAGATCACTTGATCTCATAAAAGTTTAGACATGTGTATCAAAATTGTACACTTATATTATTCACAACTTCTGTAAACATTGATAGGAATCGGTATGTAAAAATTAAGATGCAGTGTAAAGGATAGGGCGGATATATTCGCCACTCGTCCGCGATGTTTATTTACAATTTAAATTAATTATGTACAGTTTTGCAACTAAGTATACAGTAATGTTGATGACACATCTCCATCATTAAGTAACAATATTACGATTTAGCTGACTGTAATCAATACATATCTTGTGATTTTGGTATCATTATGTTTGGAATGTTACATAAATACTTTACGTGGGGGTGCTGTGATCCCATTTTGTTTCGCATTAAATCATGGCTATGTTCATGAACGTGTATATATCAATTTGGGCGTGTAGTTATATCCGCATAATGTTGGTCCCATAATTTATGTTAATAACTAATTACTGACATTATTAACATTATTGCTCGAACTTTATTGGATATTATAAGCGTACCATGCATAATTTGATTATTACCACAAAAATATGCTTAATTAATTAAAATCATAATTAACAAATTATTATCATTCATTTCAAAAAAATATGTTACATGAAAATTAAGAATTTAGTAAACATTGAAGCATTATATAAACAAACAAAAAACTTAGTTTTAAATTAACAATTAAGTTTGTCAGTAATTCTATAAAATTAAGCGGTAAACAATATTAGCATTATTAATTAATGCATTTCAATGAATAAGCATTCATTATTGCATACAATTAGCATTCCAATATTAGGAAATTGCAATAATTGCAGTTTCTATTTGAAAAATTTCAGCAGCGCCAAAATAGATGAACTATAAACTTCAAGCAAGTATTGGTTTGTTACTCAACTAACTTTACCCAAGTTTGGATACAGTGTTCTAATTTCCATCAAGTTTATAGTTTAGCCTTTTTGGCGCTGTTCCAATCACACTTTTTTTAATTAGGCCTTATTTTAATAAATGTAATTAGTAAAATTTTAACCATCTGTTTAAATTTAATTAAATTATTTTGTACAATAGTTGCGTTTATTAGTAAACATTTTATGAATAAAAATAATTTATATAAAAGAGCCATCTAGCAAGCAAAATTCTAAACAATTTGAAATTTAAGGCATAGCGTCCATAGCATAGCATAGGCGCCATAAGCCCACCATAAGTGACCATAAGCATCTGTAAGCATTTAAAATACTGAATTTGATTAATTTTTGCACCTTTAATACTTTTATTCTATTGTACTTAACAAAATATATATTTTATTACTATATTATTAAAGTATTTGTGTTCACAAATACTTATAATTGTGGCATCTACTGAAGATTTTCTTGAGAAAAATATACTGAGCTACAGTGGTTATGTTTTACGTAATTGTTTTCATTTTTAAAAGACTTAGAATTATTGCAAGATTGAGGATTGAATTTGTGTGAGAGTGTTTATTATGATGGATGACGATTTCGATCTGGATTGCTCCGAGGATGAGTTGAAGAATTGCCAAGGAAATTGGGAACCGAATGCAGAAGAGATTGTCCGGCTTTACAACATACTGGATAAGGATGAGGTTCCTGATCTGAATTGGAAATGTCCTGGCTACAGATCACCATCACCTGAAGTCAAGGAGCAACCAGAGGAGCATAAAGTAATCAACCAGTGAGTAAATTCATTAAAATTTAAAAAAAAAATAATGAAACACTTGTTTATGTAGTTTTAGTGTTGAAGACAAATCAGATTTTGATTTCATGGACGAGGTGACATCTCCGAAATTGAAGATTCGAAAGGATGGAGAGGATGCATTGAAAGGAAGTGCAAAGAAAAAGGTGACTTCTTTGGATGGTGTCATAAACAACATGAGGAGACACAACTTGCTACCCCCTTCGAAATCAAAAACTAACGACAGCTGATCTCCACTACAATATAAAGTTTATTATACAACAAGTAAATGCAAAAACAAATAAGTACAGTATGTTAAGCAAAATGATCACAGATAGGAATGGAACGACGCGTCCATCATCACTGATCTTCAATAAATTAAGTAAAAATTTTTAAGTTAGTCTCCCATTAGCTGTTGTTCCTGGAGAGGAACGTGGCTAGAGTTAGGATAGCCACAGTTCCGAATATGTACAGGGAAGCTGGTAATGAGTTGAGACGCGTTTCCTCGTAGTTATCTAAAATAATCGCAATTCATTAGAATCACACAATACAAAATCATTTATAATCACATGCATTACATTGATTAGCAACATTCCTTTTAACTCATGTTATACACATATTAATTAATAAGCCCCAATATACATACTTCTAAATATAGGTGTTATATTATATAAATATATAAATAATTATAGCTACAATGTTAGTCCTACTCTATGTAAGTTAGTTTCTTTTAATTATTTTTTTTTGCTACAACCATTCAGCAACTTACCGCAAACTTCCTCAAACTTTGAAATAGAGGGAAGGCCTGAAGAATTTTATTATTTACAATTTATAATGCCAACAACCATTGTATGATTAATACACCTAACCAGTGTTTATTGAATGTGTATGGTAAAAAATAATGTATATAACTTAAGGGCCAATGTGAATATTGTAAATTACAGTTCGAATACATGTAATGACAATGAGGAGCACTCACCGAATTCGTTGCCTTCGTTGTCCTCCACCCAGTCCAAACATCTGGCGATTCCCTTCTTCCACTCATTATACTTGATATCCCTTTCTAAACATACAAATGATTACATGTACATTATCTGTTTGGTATAACTTACGATCTTCCGTTATTGCCGGATCGAAGGTGTCGCTTGGGACGGATTGAACGTTCTCAAGATCCCAAACTTCTACACCCTTCGCGCCTCCAGCTGCTATAGCCGCTCCGAGCGCTGTAGTCTCCGCCATCAAAGGTCTCACTAATCACATTAAAAAACATTAAATTTGCTTTGATCTGGATTGGTTAGAAATAACTACAAATACTCACCAACTGGAATGCCACAGTAATCAGCTTGGATCCTCATTAATACATTGTTTGCAGTCATGCCACCATCCACTAAGAGCTTGCAAAGAGGATAACCACAATCCAAAGACATGGATTCCAAGATATCCCGCACTTGGAATGCCACAGCTTCGATTGCAGCCTTGATTATGTGAGCGGGTTTAGTCTCCGCAGTCAAACCGCAAATCACGCTGAAATTCGATTAATTATAAATACGTTTATTTTTAAATTAATATGTTGATTTACCTTCTTGCATCTTTACGCCAATAAGGAGCGTAGAGTCCTGAGAATGCGGGCACGAAGACGACCTCGCCAACATCGTCCGCCTGTTCGGCGATGTCCGCCGATTCGCTGACGTCGGAAATGATCTGCAGATTGTCACGAAGCCATCGCATAGCAACGCCTTAGAAAGAGATGTTGATGTCAATAACGAGACGAGAATAAACAAATGAAAAACCCTACCGGCGATTGCGATTGAACCTTCGAGCGCGTAGATGGGCTTTTTGTGGCTTCCGAATTGATACGCAACTGTTGTGAGAAGGCCGTGCGATGATTGAATTATCTAAACATTTAACGAGATTTCATTCAAAGGGATATCTTACGTAATCACGAGTTACATACGCTTTGACCCGTGTTGTAGAGCAGGAAACAACCCGTTCCGTACGTGCACTTCGCTTGGCCCTTCTGGAAGCACATCTGACCCACCAACGCTGCTTGCTGATCTCCAAGACACTAAAAAACAACAATAAAATCGTTTATTTACGAAATAATTTATGTATTTTGGGGCAGAAAGACTTATTAGTACTTTTGCAGCAATTTTAACTTAATTTATGTTATTATATTTTGATGGAAATTAAAGCAAATAAAAACAATTATGTAATTTATCATTAAATTCTGTTTTCAATATCGAATTAGAAATTTAAATGGAAATAAATGTTATTACATAATTTAATTAATAGGAAAATCCAGTTTGAATCGAATTACTACACTTCATTTTAAAATTAGTTTCCTCAGTATTACGTAAGTTTAGATACCTTGAACTTTACAAACGCGATAATTTAGTATGTAATAATTATATAATGATCAAAGAGGACTTTATAGCACAGCAATTGCAACTTACTCCAGAAATTGGTATTCCTTTGATCAGAGTTTCACTCAGATACCCATAAATCTCTGAAGAACTCCTGATTTCTGGAAGGATGCTCATTGGAATTCCAAAGATTTTGCACAGCTGTGGATCCCATTTCAGTGTTTCAATATTCATTAACATTGTCCTAGATGCATTTGTCACATCAGTCACATGAATACCCCCTTTAACACCACCAGTCAAATTCTGCAAATTTCCTCAATTACTTTAGTAACTTCAAATATTAAAATAAAATATTAAACATTACCCAAATCAACCAAGTGTCAATTGTGCCAAAAAGGCATCTGTTGTCCCTAATCGCTTCCTTGACAGCCTCAACATTATCCATCATCCAGCGAATTTTCAAAGCACTGAAGTATGTGCTCACTGGCAAGCCGCAGACGTTTTTCAAGAAATTCTTATTTTTCTTTCCATTCTGCAGGATTGCATCCACTGTTGTCGCAGTTCTCANTTGCCCTTAAATAATTAATTTTGATTATGTACCTAAAGCATTGTATAATGGTTTTCCTGTTTGTGAATCCCACAGCACAGTTGTTTCCCTTTGATTTGTGATGCCTGTTGCGACAATATCCTCTAAACTGATATCCAGTTTCTTCAAGTTGTCGCAAACCACATTGATTGTCTCGATGACAGCAGTCAGGATCGCCATTGGATCCATTTCCACCCATCCTTCGTGAGGGGTGATATGCTCCAAGCTGACTTGATGGTAAGTAAGTACTTCAGCTGTTTTCGCTGCAAACACCTAAAAATAGCAGGCTGAAAATGGATTGCATTTGAAAAAGCAATTGGAAATCCTACCAGAAATCTGGTGCTCGACGTGCCTTCATCTATGGATCCTATAAGAGGCCCGAACCTGCCCTTCTTGTGCTCACCCATAACTTTCAAATATACTCCAACCGGTTTTGACTTCTTGAACTTCAAAAACACAACCTTTCCAGAGGAGCGCAGAGCACCAGACCTACTCCGCCACAATCACATCAACTACTGAACGCAGTAGATCAAACAGTTTTGCTAGGAGCGCAACTCAAAATACACCCACCAATTTTTCCCCCAAATAAATACGTATTCAAATATTTATATAATTCAAAGATTGTTAATAAGACCGTGAAAGCGCAATTACCGGACTGAACACACACCTTTATCTAAATCTTTAAATAGATAATAATTACCCTTGCCCCCGGCGATAAGTATTGTTATGACTGTAATGGTATTGTTTTTTTCACCGCAAAAATCGCAAATCGATTCGTCGAATCGTTTACATTCATTAATTCTGCTGTTGTTACGCAACGAATTGAACTTGCATTATTCGATCAAACTTATGCATTTATTTATATGTATTGTATATTACAGTTTCTCTAAATTCCATTCGATTTAATGTGCGATTTATATCCTCGCGGCTCCTCGCAGGACGCTGAATCATTGTTACTTTTTTCCCACGTCGTAAACAATGAATTAACGATAATAATTAAACAACAATAAGCGATTTATTGGGAACAACGTTCAAGTATTGCGATTTTTGAGCACATTTTTATTTGTTTTTTATTATAAAATTTAGCAGCGAGTACAGTTGTTTAGTTTTAGGGATTTCCATATTGACGATAGCGATAATGTGGACTTTATCTAGTTTGTTCGCATTTCCATTTGTTTTTCTTGTTAAAATTTTGTAAGCTGATAAAACGCGGTTAGACAAAGACTGAAAAATATGAATACTAGTTTTTGTTCGTTAATTTTGCAATGAAAGCATTAAATCATCCATACGTGCACAATAGATGTAATTTGTAAAGTTTGCTTATGTTAGAAATATTCGTATACAATTTAGAGATAATTATAAAAGTTTTTTTTAATACAGTTTAAAATTTGTTTTTGTTTCAACAAAGTTGTAATTGAAGAATCATTAGATGTAAAAATTATCTTAAGAAAAGAAACAAATTAATATTAACAATTTCTTAGAACTTTGTCTGCAATTTAGAATTCTGCTGTCAGTCATAATACAGTGGAACCTCGCTTAACGATCAACGTTTCGCAAAACGAGTGACGACGAGATGAGAAGTCCCAGATTGCGCGCCTTCTAGATCATTTTTAAAACTTGTGTACACATATTATGTGTATTTTTCACTATACGAGTAAAAATCCGGAAATTTTGGAACGGATTAAACTCGTTAAGTGAGGTTTCACTGTATACACAAAAATTAACTTGAATGTAATGAATATGGACTGAAGCAACAATATTTATTGCAAATCCAATCCAATTTTGCTAAGGATGTTTTCTTCCATCAGCATTTGACCTTATTACACTTTGGAAATACCACCTCCGCAGATCAAAATTTAATTGAGAAAGTGTTGAATGATCCCAAAAAGAAAAGAGGTCAATTCATTTGCGCGCTTTAATCGCTTTTACTTCAAAAGATTTTTCATCAATGAAAAATATATTTCTTAATTACAAAAAAAAACAGTTTTATACAAACAGCATTTGCTTAGTGTTGAAATTAGACCAAAAAGAAGTGGAGTTTCTAGAAATTGCACGAGTATTACCAGAAAAATCAATACATTTGTAAAATATTGGTTATTAAACAAATTAATCGATTTATTTTAATAATAGAATTAGTTTATTTTGCAAAATTAGTTATAATTATCGTTAGATTAAACATTTATATAGATAGATAAGTGAACTATTACGGTTTATTGATGTAATTGGAAATTCCAAATTGCTTACATTAATTTTTATAATCAAAAGTATTTACCAAAAACACTTCAATTTTCGCTTATAAAATATGAAAATCTTGACAAAAAAATCATAGATTTAGTTGCAGAAATTGATTACGTTTTCGGGTAATTCTTATATAACTCACTTTTCTAAAAATGTTTTCTTTTTATTTATTTTTTCAAAACTATTTACCAAAAACTCATCTCAGTTAGTACAAATATTGTAGAAAACTATAGTTCAAAATCTGCAAACAATATTGCTTTTGTTCCAAAAAAATGATAGTTATTTAAGTTCAGTGCAAATGTTAATTATCCATTTACCAAAACATAAATATTGATTTTTTTATGTTGGTTTAACGGAAAATTGATTACGTTTACTACTTAATTTGATGACTCACCCATTCTAAAAATGAAAATACATCCTAGCTAATGGTTTCCGTGCAAAACATTGTAGAAATGGATATTTTTGGATGAAAGAAAACAAATAATAAGTTGATTGAGAAATACTAATACTAATCTATTACAAACAATATTAAATTGATTTACTTTTTATGAACTTTTATATTAATATTGTTATCATATTTGTTATCATCTATATAAACAATGTTAATTGATACAATGTTAAGTATACTTTTTCATTATTCTTAATAGTATTACTTTTTGCAGTTGAGCAAAATATGCTAAAGTTAATAACATCTTTTAAAATAAAAATTTGAAATTGTTCAGTTATTAAAATACTGTTTCACCAAAGAATTCCATTGGTTTCAGCTTTATATATTCACCAAAATTCGCAGCAAATTTTCATAAATATTATATGTTTCATTCAAAAACATTTCAAGTGTGTATTCAAGTTTTATTAATAGAATCTAAGGTAATTGTAAAGTGTGTAAAGGTATGCTGATATAGATTAATTATATTTCCGTCGGATTCAGCAGTGATTTGCTTAATTGGTATTGGCGGTTTCATTGGAGTGGTGCGAAGAAGATGTGGGCGCGCTGCTACGGATCTCGCAATTAGATTTCCTGCTGTTCACCGTTTCAGGAAGCGTCGCGGAAAAGTTGCAGGAGTAGAGAGAGAGAGAGAGATTTGAAATGGTGTTTCCTGTAAGACCAGTTTGTGCAGCATCCCGTTAGATGGCCGATTCGAAAATGGGCCGGGGCTTCGAGTCTGCGGCGAGAGGAAATTCATCTTGTCGGCGCGGAGCGAAAAATCGATAGGTCGGTCGGTTTTCCGTCTTTATCCAGAAAAAGAGGAGGAAGAGGTGACGGCGGCGGCGGAGGAGGTGTACTGCATATTCGCATCCCGTGCTACGAATCCTGCTCTCGTCCGTGCTCCGTCCGAACAGCAAAAGCAAGATGATGATGGGTCCCGAAACAACAACGTGCGCCCGAGAAGATATATTTATACATCTCGCGAGTTAAACGGCAGCAATTTTAAAATTAAAACTACCGAACAAACAAGCCTTCCTCCTCCGTGCCGTGCGGATTTACATGACAATTTCGCGCATCCAGGCCCCCCCGTACGCATCGTAACCAGTTGCCGGTGGTCGTACTAAAGTTCTTCAAATTAAACCAGAATAATAATAATAAAAATAGTTGTGCGTTGTTGAAGATGATGATGATGATCGTAGAGTGGTCATCTCCTGCGGGAAGTGTGGATGTGTAGGCTGCATCGTAAGGAGTGCGCGCGGACGACGGGACATAGCATAGATGAGTATGAGCGTGATGCTGGTGATGGTTGAGGTGCTGTAGTAGTTCCGAGCGTCTGGGTGTACAACCGGAGGGTTCGTTAACTGCATCGCGATACCCTTTGGCATTTTCGGCCGGAATGGACAAAAGCGTTTGGCCAAAATCCAAAACTCAAAATTAGATTACGAGACATTGTACGGGAAAAAAAAAGGAAAACGCGGAAAACCATAAACATGCGAGGAGCGAACAAGTTCGGTGCTTTCGATTGAAGACAAAATAGACTCGAATTGAACATACAAAAATCTCTAAATCATGGCCGCCGATAAACATTTGCTGCTGCTCATAATTTATTTGGTGCTAAGCAACGGTGTTGCTGCGGATGATGATAAGCAGGATAACAAGGACAGGAGGAACACGGTCACGAAGCAGGACATCAATTTCCTGCGAAGGAAGCTGAACGATGAGAAGAGGCAGCAGAAGGAGCAGGATCGAATGGCGAGCGATGCGAATCCCAGGATGGAGCCAAACTTCACCAGCAAGTTCGATGGCTCGAAGAAGTTGCAGTTGGAGATACTCAGAGCTAGAGGCTCCGAATGCGATTTCGAAGGTAAATGCACTTGGACCTGGAGGACGGACGTCACTCCGGGGTTCGCAGTCGCCATAGCCAATAACACCACCGGACCCAAAACAGATGCTGACGATAGGCATAATGGTAAGTTCACAATCATCATTACATCATTCAAAAAAAAACATCACCATTTAAGAAAACATACATACGTATTGGATCATTAAGCATATCTGTTATATAAGAAATATCACCTAATTCTTAATTAAAACATTTCTATTCGAATAATTACGTATTAAGAAATGAAAATTTAACTTACATTAATCAATTAAAGATGAACTGTCATTTACTTCAAATGTCGCCTATTATTTAAAAGTTCTAAATGTATTGATTCAATGTTGACAAACAGCAATAAGATGTAAATAAAAAACTTATCTTGTTAGTTTTTTTT